TTCTCTTGAGCAGTAAATAACTCAGCTTTGAAAAACATGCCTTGGTGACACGTTCATGATGGCCAAGGGAACGGCAGAGCCTGGATGCCTGAGAGTAGAGCTCAGAGCTCCAGCCCTGGTCTCACTGGCTCACACAGATTTCCTCAGTGCAGAAAATGGTGGTGACCATGGCCCTGAGGGCCACCAAGTAAGGGGTCCTATGTCTTATAGTGGTGTCCACCAAGTCCCCCTGAACAGAGTGGACATAATCCCACCAGCTGGTGGCAATACTGGTGCAAAGACTTGTCACTGTATTCCTTGATGGCCACAGCCCTACACCCAAAGAAACTGCAATTCCCAAGTTTCCTTCCACTTTCAAGAGGCAGTTAATGCTGGAATTAAATGCCCATCTCACTTCTCTCAGTGTGGGACATCTTGGTTTTGCAGCTTCAAGTACTGGGTGAGGCCTCAGTCACAGCTGTGTTATTGGTCGATTATGCCCTCTCCTCAAACCTGCCTTCCTCACGGCCTTCCAGGTGTGTTTCTCTCAAAAAGGTTTTGCATGCCGCTCTTCATCACATGGTCTATTTCCAGGACACCTAAGTTATGTGACTTTCTCTTCATGGTCACTGTTCCCTCTGAGGGCAGTTTCAAGATGCATGATATTAACATCATCCTAGAAAAATGATTTGCTAAAATTACACTAAGATTTAATCTCACTCTGGTTAGAATGGCAGTCATGAAGAACACAAATAATAATAAATTCTGGTAAGAATGTAGGGGGGGGAAGTATACTTACACACCATTGGTGAGAATGTGAATTAGTACAAACGCTATGGAAATCAGACTGGAGGTTTCTCAAAAGACTAGAAACGGATCCACCATAAGACCCAGCTATACTGTTCCTCAGTATTTCTCCCAAAAAAATTAAAGTCAGAATACTGTTGTGCTACCTGCATACCTATTTATAGACTTAATAGTCAGGTTATGAAACCAGACTAAGTGTCCACCAACAGATAACTGGATAAAGAAAATGTGGTATATATACACACCGGAGTTTGTTATAAAGCACAAAAAAATTATGTCATTGCAGGAAAAGTGGATGGAACTGGAGAACATCGTGCCAAATGAAATAAGCCAGACTCCGAAGTCAGGGGTCATGTGTTTTCTTTCATATGTAGAAATTAGAGAGAAAAGGTTGGGCCCTTCATGAAAATAGAAGGGAGACCAGAGGGGATAAAGGAGGGGAGGGAAGGGGACAGTACGAAGCGGGTGGGGGACAAATTAGACCAAATTATGCTGTGTGCAGATACAAATACATCACATTGGAGCCTGCTGTTGTGTATAATTATAATTTACCAATAAAAATATTTTTTAAAAGGAAAATGATTTGCTTCGTGGTTAGAAGAAAAACATTTTTGTTAGGTGTAAATCCCTGACATTTACTTCCCCTCTGATGGCTATCGGCTTGCTAAGGAGGCCTGGGGAAAACCGGCAGGACCAGAAGTGACAAAACTCTGGCTCTAGAGACTTACAGGGGAAGTCACTGAAAGGCAGACTGAAAAGCAGTTCCAAAGTGCAGGGACATGGGACATGCCAAGGGGAGCTGCTGAAAGGAGCCGGGTCTGAGATTAGAAGAGATAGCAGGGAAAGTTGGAAAGGGGACAGAAAAGAAGAGGCAGAGAGGACTACTTGAAAGATAAGATACTTTTGTTTAATTTCCTGGATTAGTTGCTTTTAAATGGTTTACCAGAAAGGAAAAAAAACTGCTCTGTTAATTTACTGCAGGAGCTTTGTAATTGGAGAGCTAATGGCCTTCCAGGGGAAGGGAGGAAGGCAGGATGGCTGTAGATTTGTGCAGAGTTAACGCTCAGAGGTGAGCATGCTACAAGAAGCCCCACCTGTGTGTACAATGTACTTAAGGGATTAGAGCATACTTTGAAATTATGATATGTTTTACCTAAAGTAAGCACCTCACTTTTTAAGCTTCTATTTCCTTGAAGGAGGAGGGAAGAAAACCATCCATTCTCCCAGGTAATCAGGTGCATAAGACTTTCTGCTTGTGGGATTTAATAAAGTTTAGTGCAGGGGGATGAAGGGTGTGTTATTAATCTTTTAGCATGATAAAACTTATTGTCAACACTTGTGATTCCGATTCAAAGGTCTGGCTTGCAAGAGGTCCATCAGCTCTGGTTACAGGTGAAATTTTTAGGAAGACTCAGGAGTGAGAGGGCCAGGGAAGCTGTAGTATGAGGGGTGAGGGGAGATGAAAAAAGACTTTTTAAAGCAGAATTGCTGTGGTCTCCATGTTTCCTTCAGGGTCTTCCGGAAATGCAAGTAAATACTTGATGGTCTTTATTTAAATATAAAGTGTCCTGGGGCTGAAGTGGGGTGATTATTAAAGACAGAAACTTCATCTCCCTTTCCTCTGTTTACCAGGAAGGGAGGCAGGGCCCGTTTATAAATGAATAATGCTCGTCCACTACCGACTAAGCTGCTGTTTTGGATGATTTTGTAGCAAAAGGTTTGTCAGCAAGGCAGAGGGCCAGAGGATATGGTAACCAGAAATACCTACATTAAACAGCATGCAGTTTTTAGGGGACTGAGAATCACACACAGATATGTCTAATAAAGACATAGAGACTTTATTTTTAAAACACTCATGTTGCAAAAAAAAATACATAGAAAAATAAAGTTCAACTGGGGTACTTTACTAAACTTCAAGTCACAGACCTTTATGTTACATATTGAAGCAGTGTTCGTGAACTAATTTATTAAACAGGATAGAAACAGACTGTCCTGGTCACCTGTCAGGCTCAGAAACTATTTCTTCAAATATTTTTCTACCAGTTCAGGTGTGGGTGAATGACTAGTTCCAATGGGGATTGATAAACAAAATAATTTGAAACAAACTTTCTTTTTGCAACACAATACACATCACAGGTAAATGTTTAATCCTCGTAGAACTGCAGGTTGAAAGAATTCAGAGAGGGAAGAAAGAGTACGGAGTGGAGAAGCAGCACTAAATGCTTAAGAGACTGTCCAAAGCAGACAGCAATTGGGGCTCCTCTGCATTTGGAGCCATCTAGTAGTACTGTGGAGGAGGGGGGCGGCAGCACGTGGCACTGGACATTTCAACTTGGAGCACAAGCCTTGGAAAAATGGGATGAAACTGGCTAACTTTCTATCAACTCACTTTAGGAGTTTGGCCACCAACAGTAAACTGGCCCTTTTAATAGGAGGAAATTGAAACGTTTCTCACTGCACAGAATTAAGTAGTGGGAGCAAGAGACTTCCCAGCCTCAGGGTACCTCATGGGCAATGTTTTTGGGTTATTCCCCCCGAATGGCTCCTCTAGTACAACAGAAACAGGAAGGCAGCCAACCTTCTTTTTTTGCTTGTTGCTAGTTTTCGCTGAAGTCATTCTGGGGATCTGATATAGTACTGAGCACAGGTCCTAAGCATGTGGATAGTTTATTTGGTGATGGAAGCCACGACCATGTTGTTTTGAACATGGTTTCCTTTTTCTTAGCCTCTTCCTGCAAAGGATATCACCTCCTTCTCCTGCTCAATGGATGGGGCTACCTACAGCCCAGGTACGTTTCTTCCCTGCTCTCTCTGGGAGCCCTTCATTTCTACTGGATGGACCCTTCAATGATATTGGACCCTGGGCACTACATTCTTGTTTCCATACAAAAATGCATTAGCCCTCACCTTCTCTGCCTACAGGGATTTCCAAAGAGGGTCAGACTCTGAAGTGTAACAACGGAGCCACAGTGTCCTATAAATGTAGCAGTGACCTTCTCAAGCTGTCAGGTCTTTAAATAGGATTTGGGATTTAATGCTGTATATTTTTAAAGGAAAGAAATAAGCATTGCTACTTTAGAAAATGTATGTCTTTTGGCCGGCTCAGAATCTGCCCCCCTCCCCCTTTTTTTTCCAAGGCTGGGTGTGATAAGAGAAAAAGAAAGACCAGATCTCGGGCTAAATAAGAAAGGCCTATTAGGTGTAGCCAAACTAAAAGCCTGGACTAAAAAGAAGGCCCTTCAGTGGGTAATTGCTGCAGAAAAGAAAAGAAAAAATAAAATAAAATAAAAGGAGGGAAGAAAGGACCTTACCCTAAAAAAAAAAAAAAAAAAGGCGTCACCTCTGTTACAATGGAGAAAAAATTCTACCCTGAAAACCCCAGGAACCTCTCATTCTAAATTTTCCAGCTAGGGCAGATGGGGTTGGCAGACGCCTGTCCACTTTTTGCCAATAAAACAGGCAACAGGACCCTCCTCAGGCCCCTGCTTGGACACGCGGAGGTTCTTCTGGCACAGTCCCACTCCTTCTGGTCCAGTTCTGTTTATACAGCTTGTCTTAAAAACCACAGCGAGTGCATCTTGTTCCATTCAGGCCACCCTGTAAATACTTAAATTGGCATACTACTGAAAAAAGGAATAAGAAGCTCAGATTTTCACCTCCCCACCCCTGTCCCATGCCAACCTGCCCAGAGCATGAGGGCTTTTCATTGAGGCCTTCCTCACTTTTACAGGAATAGAGAGAAACCTTGGCCATATTCCAAGGCCAATAGGAGTTTTTTGAACCTAAGTTTACTTCGGTAGGTAACATCCTCATCTTGGCTATCTTTCTCTCCTTAGGTTGGCTCTTTCAGAGTTGATATCAATTACCCAGGAGGATGGAGCCACAGCAACAGAATCCTCAGGAGCAAGGCACACAGCTCATCCAAAGTCAAGCAAAGTGCTGGAAACAGCACTTGGTTTTTCTCTTCCTCTCCTCAAACAGTAAGCTAAAAGCAACAGTGATCTATGGCAGGCACTGGGGGAACTATTTAGATAGTGAAATAGTTGCTGCCCTGGGTCTTTCATTGGCCCACCAGTGAAGAATCTGGGATTTCCACAGAAACCTCCAACAGTTTTGGTCTGCACACCTCCTGGGCCCCAGCCCTTCCTGACCTCAGCCCCTTCAGTTTTCCACAGAGACTCTCCGGGGAAGGCAGTTTCTGATGGCACATAGTTGTCCTCTGAGCTGGCGTTACCAGAGAGCAGGGCTCCAGCTGCCCAGGCAATAAAGGTAGGGGTAGTAAGGGTAGCTGTTATACATGGAGATCAGGGAGGCCCTGGAGAAGCCCCCCTCCTTCAGGACTGGTAAGGAGGAGGGCTTCTCTAAGTCGCCCAGATCTGAAGACAGCTGCTTTCGTTTAGTCTTATAGCGTCTGTTCTGGAACCATATTTTCACTTGGGTCTCAGTGAGTTTGAGGTTCTTGGCCAGGTGAGCCCTTTCGGGGGCAGACAGGTACTTCTGATGGCTGAACTTCCTCTCTAACTCAATGACCTGAGTGTGGGAGAAGGCAGCTCGGGAGCGCTTCTGAGGCTGCTTGGGGGTCTGGGAAAGGCTTGGTAAGGCGCCTGAAGTGTGCTCACAGTCCAAGAGATAAGTCTCAAAGTGACTATCTGGAAAAGAGAGGAGGAGGAGGATTAGAAGAAAAAAGTTACATGTTAGCACAGAATTCAATCCACCCTTATCTCGTCCCTGAGTGAACAAAACAGCCCACTGTTATCTTGGAAACATTTCACTTTTTTCGCATGATTAAGGAACTCTCTGGAAAGGAGAATGAGTAAATTTGTATATTATGTATTAGTTTTCTAATAATCAGCAAGAATCCGAAGTTACAGGCGCTTAGTGGTTGCACTTTCTGCCATATTGTTGAGTACAATTAAATGGGGGATTCTGGATATGTTTGTTAAAGATATGTGGGAGCAGGCAGGCAGGAAAACACCCCAGAAGTAAGACACCCGGTAAAGGGAGACCAAACGGTATCCGGAGTTAGCATCCGGGTGGGCAAGAGAGGGCTTGTGCGATGGGAGAGGCGGCAAGGGCTAATGGCAAGTTCATTCTCGGGCTTTAATCCTTTTTACCCTAAATGACGCGTTAGGTTGGTGCAGAAGAAGTGATGGGAAAGAAAATGAGTCTACTCTATAAATATTCCAACGGTGTTATTTCTCCTTAAGACCAAAAGGAACAGTCCAAAGTACTGTGTTACGGCCCACGATACTGAGAAGCAAAGGGACTTCTGCTGATCAAACAATAATTAATATTAAATACATTCTTATTAGTTCTAATCGCCAGAGCAGGTGCCACTGACTTTTGCGGGTCAATAGGGCACCACCCTGCACAGGGGCTCAGGTTTTAACCTCGAGGCTCGTCCGTGGCCAGGGGATAGCGAGGACAGTGATGCCGCACCCCAGCATCCCGAGCTCCGGGAGGTCCTCCTGGGACCAGGCCTCCCCGGTCTCGCCGTCTTACCTGGCTCGGACTCCGCCAGCGTCTCGGCCTCCCCCGGAGCGGCGCAGGGCCCGGCGCACAGCGGCTCCGCAGGCGCCCGGGCGCGGCCTCCTTCTCCTCCAGCCTCGAGCTCAGGCTCAGGGTCGCGCCTTGGGTCCGGCCCGGACGGTGGCTGCGGGTGACCGGCTTGGCCGCGGCGCCGCTCGGGGCAGTCCCGCAGGATGTCCTGGATGAGGAAGGAGGTTAGCGGCTTGGACTGCGTGGGCGGCGCGGCCCGCGGACTGCAGCCGGCCGCCTCCGCCTCGCCCGGCCGCGGCTCGGGAGCCCGGAGCATCCCCGCGGCTGGCTGGGGCCCGGCCCACTGCGCTCCACCACTTTCGCTTTCCGCCGCCCCGCGCGCACTTATAGCCCCGGGGGAGCGCGCCGCGCCGCCTTCCCATTGGCCGCGGGGGCACGGGCCGCGCCGCGGATTGGCTGCCCGGCGCGCCAGGTGACCCGGAGGTGGTGGGGGTCCTTCGCACGGTCGCGCTCCGCTCTTCCCAGATCTCTTCCCCGACTCGCCTCCCTCCGCTCCAACCCGTTTCCCAGGCTGGGCGCGAAAACCAAAGCGGTCTCCCTTGCCGCCAGCCACTCGCAGACGTCTTCCCGGGATAACGATGCCCAAGAGTCACTCCGTTTAGCTCTTACAGACCGTCGCCTTTGCTCACAGGGATAAGGCGGTCAGTCGCGACGACTCTGCTTTACCAATGAGAATCCTGGGTACCCCGTGACGGGGAGGGGTGGGGTGGGGGGATTGGTGGTAAAGCCAGATCTTCTGAATCTCAGGTTCTCCAAGTGGTGTTGTATGACCACTGTGCAGTGCCTGACCTCGGGCTGGATTCCGTACCAGACGTTATTTCACAACAGTGAAACAGGAAAGATGAAAGTATTATCAGCATTAAATTTACTGAAGTTGAGCGCTGTGCTTTAATTGTATAAGAGAGTATTCTTAGGAAATAAAGCGTGAAGTTGTAGGGACAGAGGCACTCAATGTAACTTACGCTGGAATGGTTCAGAAACAATGATGTAGATTGATCAATAAATCCAACGTCAGAAAACAAATGGCTTAGAATATCCACAATTGATGAATCTGGATAACTGCATGCTGGTATTCTTTTTAACCACTTTTATGTGGTTAAACACACTCTTTTTGTGTGTGTTTGTCTTGGTTTAAGTCGCCCTCCATTCAACTGGAATCTTTTCAAAAGGGTACCTTGTGTGTCTGGGAGAAGGGAAGGGGAATAGGTTATTGAGGATCCAACATCCGCCAAACAGAACTATCCTGTGAAACGGGAAGGCCTTAGAAAAACTGAATTTCTTCTTTCATAAATTTTAGGCCTCCTGTCCTTTAAATTTTTGTAAATGTTTCCTTTTGAAATAGTTATAGATTCACAGGAAATTGCAAAGTAATACCTGCAGTGTTGGCCATAATGGCATCTTAAAAAACAGAAAGTGGACTTTAGTACATTGCTTTTGACTGGATTACAGATTTCATTTTATTTTTGCCATTTAAAAATCTGCATTAATTTGAGTGTGTGTGTGTATGTGTGTGTATTTTTCTGTACAATTGTGTTACAGTTTTAGGTTCATGTAATCATCAATCACAATCAAGATAGAGAATTCTTTGCTCACTGCAAAAGAACTCTGCAGTACTGCCTGTTTGTGTCCCTGGCCCCTTATCTCCTGCCCAACCCCTGACAACCACTACCCTGTGCTGCATATCAACAATTTTACCATTCAGAGAATGATGTATAAACCCTACCCTGTAGGGTTTGTAGCCTTTAGAGATTGGCTTTTTTCACAAGACTACAGTACTCCTGAAGTCCACTTTGATTATTGCATGTATTAATGGTTCATTCTTTTTCATTGATGAATGATACTGTGTTGTATGGATCTATTTAACTGTTCTTATCAAAAGACACTAGAGTTGTTTACAGTTTTTTGCTATGATGAACAAAAGTGCTGTGAGCACTCATGCAAAGCATTTTTTTGTGGTTTGGGTGGGTGTTCCCCCAAAGGCCCACAGAATGGCACTTCTGGGAGATGCATGGATCTTTAAGAGGTGGGACCTAATTGGGAGGTCCTTATGCCATTGAGGATGTACACTATTTTTATTTTAGCCATTAATAGGTATAGACTGCTATCTTGTTTATTCTAGCTTTAGTTTTGATTTGCACTTGACAAATGGCTAATGATGTTGAACATGTTTTCATATGGTTGGCCTATTTGCCAACCCTCTCTCTTCTATGGCAAAATATCTGTTCAAGTCTTTTGCCCATGTTATCATTGTATTTTCTGAGTTTTAAAAATTTACTATTGAGTTTTTTAAGATTCTTTTTTATACCTTTATTTTATTTATTTAATTTTATGTGGTGCTGAGGATCTACCACTGAACTACAACTCCAGCCCCTACTATTGAGTTTTGATAGTTTTCTATACATTATATAAACAAGCCATTGTTGGATGCATGGGTTTGACGATATTTGCTCCAATTTGTAGCTGTGTTTTCATCCCCTTAATAGAATTGTTTACAGAGCAAATGTGTTTGGTGAGGTCCAGTTGATTAATTTTTTTTTATCTTACAGATTGTGATTTTTGTGTCATGCTCAAGACCTTTGCCTAGCCCTAGTACTAAAGAAGGCCTCCTATAATCTCCTCTAAGTTTCATACTTTACTCTTAAATCTATGCTCCATTCTGAATTAATTTTGTGTATGGTGTGAGGTTTAGATTGAAGTGGACTCTTTTCATTTTTAAAATTTAGAACTGGTGGTATTTCAAATCGGTGGGGAAATGTGAATAAATTAATAAGCCAGTGCCACTCTATGGAACTTATAACACTATTTGTTATAAGTCCTATTCTTATAACAAAATAAATCCCAGATGACTTAAAGGTGTAAAACAAAATGGCACATTGGGGAAACACCACACTCATCATTTGAGAAACACAAATCAAAACCACATTGACACACCCCTTTCCACCTCTCAAAATGGCAAAGGTTTTATAAAAAAATGAATGCTGTCTGGCAGTGGTGGGCCTATGGAAGAATAGCTGCTCATAGCAAGTTTGGTGGAGAGTAAACCAGTTTTGCATCTTGGATGCCAACTTGACAATGTCTATCAACATTAAAACTAGGCATATCCTTTGACCAGCTATTCCATGCTTAAGAGATTTGCCCCTGAAACTCATGAATGGACCTACTTAGGAGTATCTTCAACTTGGCCTGAGACTAGTTCAAGTTGCAAAATGTATAGAAAATGAAATTATTGTACTAAAAGGTGGCAACAAATTATCTATATGCTATTCTGAATATTTGGAAGAATATATAAATATACATTTCTTTTTTCAATAGAGACGTTGTCTCAGTTCAGTAAGATGAAGATAGGTTGGGAGAAGGAAGGAGAGTGGAACAGGATGCTTATCCTGTACTCATTTCTAATTGCCATAAATTACAAATCCAGAGCTAGAATTGAGCTGGGCCACCTCCTTCCCCATGACCTCCTCAGGTCTCAGATCTCCCTTTAGAATGGGGACACTGTTCATGACACTTGACCTCACTTGCTTTACGTCTCCTCCCCTTCGTGCTTTGCACTTGGTTTATATGACCAGGTCATTTCCTTTATCAGACTACAAGCTTCATGGGAAGGGACTCGGTACACGGCAGACACTTAATAAATGTTTGCTAGCTGAATGTCTTACTAAGAGGCATCTCACTGACTAGCAGAATTATCCATATGTTACCACAGGGTCCCAAGGCAAGTCACAGAGGAAGACAGGTGGCCCTGTCTCCTTGCTGTGTTTATGCAGCTTAAGCTGGATGCAAATGACCAAGGGTCATCAGGAGGATACACAGTGCTGTGGAGGCAGAATAACAATCCCTCAAAGATGCCCACTCCCTAACCCCCAGAATCAGCGAGTATGTTCTGCAGATGGCAAGGGATAGTTCAGGTTTCAGTTGTAATTAAAGTTGCTCACGAGCTGACCTTGAGGTGGGAAGATTGTTCTGGATTATTTAGGTGGCCAGAGATCCAGAGTGAGAGGAACTGGTATCTGAGGAAATCTTGGGAATGGCATGTGAGAAAGACTCAGCTGGCCACGGCTAGCTTCGAGGCTCAACGGAAGCCATGAGCCAAGGACTGCAGGTGGCCCCTAGGAGCAGGAAAAGGAACGATTGATTCCCTGTGGGTCTCCAGGAGGAATTCCGCTCTGCCTGCACTCCACATTAGCCCAAAGGGGCACAATTTGAACTTCTGACCTCCAAAACTGTAGGGTAATGGATTTGTGTTATTTAAAACCACCATTTTTGTGATAATTTGTCACAGTAGCTTTAAGAAGCTAATATAGTGGCCTAATAAAAGTAGCAGAGTGATGAGGGAGAACCAACCAGCTCTGCATTGATTGCACAAATGGGAACCTTGGGTCCTTTTTTTTAAAGTTATTTTTTATTAAATTTTATTTTATTTTTTACACAATGGAGCACAACTTTTCATTTCTCTGGTTGTACATGATGTAGAATCACACCATTCATGCAATCATACCCGTACATAGGGTCATAATTTCGTCTCATTGCACCATCTCCCCCCACACTTCCTTCTCTCCCCTTCCCCCATACAAAATTTCTCCATTTTTCCTTGCCGCCCCACCCCCCATTATGGATCAACATCCACTTATCAGATAAAACATTTGGCTCTTGGTTTTTTGGGATTGGCTTACTTTGCTTAGCATGATAGTCTGCAACTCCATCCATTTACCTGTAAATGTTGGGTCCTTTTTTTTTAAAGTTGAATTTTACATTTAGACACATGATCCCATCTCTTCTCTAAAACTGTCTCCTTTGTATATTTCCTTCCAGACTTTCACCATATTAATTGTTGGAGAAGTGCAATATGGTATGCTTATCTTTTTCTGAACTTCACATTATAAATAAGCATTTATACTACATTCCATCATTCCAGAAAACATCTAAGTCCAAAGACATTTAGAGCTACGAGGGACCCAGGATCACCTAATAAAATATCTTGCTTTTCTGAGACAGAACCTCAGGTTCTCAGAGACTGCTGAAGTAGAGTGGGAAGCCGAGTCTCCTAGCCCTAGCCCAATGCACTTCTCCCCTTCCATCCCTCCTCTCACCCTCCCCTGTGGACCCCAGTGCTGCCCTCCACTGGAAGAAGCAGGAGCAGAGCTGACAGAATTGTCCAGTGGACATTTGTTATAAATGTACCCCGTGCTGGTTTTTATCAGGTATGGCAAGACACGAAGACACAGGAAAGAATTTATGTGCTCACAGACGTAGAAC